CACAAAAAGCATAAAGGTAAAAAACAATATATACAGTGTTATCTTCATTTTAGATGTCAAAAAGTATTTGCGGCTCCCAGTGTTTTCGTTTGCGTGGAAACCAGGTCCAAATGGCTCTTTGGGTGTGAAAGGTTGCTGACCCTTGATCTAGGCGTTTATCCAGCTGGGACATATTCACCTACCTGCCTGAAAGCAAAACAAAACAAAACAAAAACTACGTTATCTAAATGTCTTCACTACTAGTTGCAAAATCTGTTGCATGCAAACTGACAGAAGAACTAGCACTTTTTAAAATCTCAAATAGCAATAGGATGAGATTCAAGAAATGAAAAAAGTAAAACTGGAAAGTGGACTGCTCAGCTCAGCTGAAGCCTTTGCTATGTTGTAAGCAAACGACAAGGCAAATGGGGCTGAGATAGAGGCTTGATATTAGTTCATAATTGTCTCCTTGATATTGATGTCCATTAGATAGGTATACTGTACCTCACTTGCATGCATATACACCATACACACACACACATATTCACCAATAACATTTGATCCTTTTCCTTCCCCTCCCCACAACGCTGAATCCAGTATTCCCAGCACTTAACATCGATTATTAATGGAAGGTTTCAAAAGAGAAGGAGGGCAGAAACTGATCTTACTCTTTATACCCACTAACATTAAGAGAAACCTGTCTGAGGATCGGGGCCAGTAACTTCCCAGAAACCTTACTGATGGGAAGTACTGTGCCAGCATAAATTGATTGTGTAATTTCTGCAGATCATCATGAAACCTGAGGGTCATGGTAATGTCTGACAATAGCGACTTATTTTTGCCTTTTGGTCTGAGAATTTTTGAAGACACGTGTGGACAAGTGACCACCTCTGAGGCTGAAAAATGAAGCCAAGTGAGAAGCATCAAAAAGTGCAGTTCCTTAAATGGCCACATGAGGGTGGCTCCAAAAGGAAGTCCTCAAAATGTTGAGCTAGACAGCATTAAACAGCATCAACCACTACCAGTAGTTTTTTTTGTTTGTTTTCTTATTTTTAATTGGATAAATCATCCAAAAAGATACTTTAGTAATGGGTGTGACCACTTTGAAAGTTAGTCAAAGGAAGTACGATGAAGCCAGAAGTCATTGAAGTCATTGAACTAGACCTCTCCACCATGTTTGTATCAGCAGCGATCATCAAAATGATTTGGTATTACCTTTTAATGTCTTCATCATCTGTCATTCGAACTGTAGTAAGATGAACACGACACACCATCCATCCATTATCCAATTCACGACTGCAGGAGAGAAGGATGAAAAGGATGTCTTAAATGTTTGTACATATCCATCACTTTTTGTTTCTTGTTGTGAGCCATTAAAATAACCAGAGGTGAGATCGCACCATTAAAAGAGAAGCTCAGACTGCTAAATGTGTAAAAAAAGTTTTTTTATGACAGCTTATTCAGATCATTTAAAGCCAGCCCTCAAGGGAAGAATGTGGCGGATAACACCTCCCCGTTTCCGTCTCATCACAAACAACACCAGTCTTAAAACTGGCACGTGATGGAGATTCAGATGCTATTTGGTAGTTTATCTAAAAGGGAGTCCTGAGCTGTGTTTTCCCATTGTGCATTTTTACTCCTGTTCCTGTGCCCTCTCCTGTCCCCGTGGAGCCAAACGTGCGTCAGCAAGTTGCTCGGCGGCAGCCTGGCTATCTTTTTATCAGCTCCTGTTCCTCTGCTCTTTATTTTGTGAAAAAGGTAACGCATTGAGGAGCAGTCACACATCGTTTAGATATTTATGTTAATCCCACCTGTTTAAAAAAAAAGGCTTTTAAAAAACATATTGACAGTAGATATAGTATTAAGCACCTTGTATGTATTGAAAATGAACAGCTCAGCACTCTTTAAGTCTTTATTTCCTCAGCACAACGTTCCTTTTGCAAAATCGAGTCAAACTGTTCATGCTTTGTTTGAATCAGAAGTTTCTCCAGTTGGTCTTCCAGACTCTGTGAGCTGATGAAGATGTGGGCCACCGTTCCTCCCGTGGGGTCCTCTGTGTCCCTTAACTGACTCGAACCTAGTGAGCAAAAATATCCACATGCCTGCGTCTTCGCCGCTGCCTGAGGGAACGTATTAATGCCTCAGCTAATCCGATTAACATTAACAATCCCGCAGGGGAAATCTCTGCACATCTGCAACGGACAGATAATTACGTCGCCTCAGATGTTTGTTTCTTTTTTCTCTCTGTTTGTTCTGGCTCTTTTTATGTCTTTGGAAGACCATCAGCGTTTTTTTACCAGCATGGATGGGCACTGTTTAGCATGCTCAGGTCCTTGTAGAAGAATCTACTCGTGAAGATGTAACGTAGGAGGATGCGCTCTGTGTCTCAAGGGCAAGCTTTCACTGCACTTTACTGTTATGACTAATTCAGTTCATGGATTTTCTCTTTGATGTATAAAAGGTAAATTTCTCATGAAAATGACTCTACCAAAATGGTTTCACCTCCCGTAATAGTGGCAGCAGCAGTAGTACTACTATTAATTGTACTATAGTTATAATTATTGGAGAAAATAATGCTAATTATTAGAAATTTCTCTACCTGTTTCTTTCTTAGACATTTATTCATTGAGTGTTATATCTGAGACACTATGTGCAGAACATGTCAGTTGTTTTTCATTCCTAATTGCTCTATTATGCAATCATTGTAGTGTAAGGGTTGTTTACTTGTATGCTCGCAACAATATCAAAGCACTGGCTGAACCCTGACGATGTGTGTGAGGCATTTTAGGAGCGAAGCGGTAAGCGTCAGTCACTCATTATGATGTTATCCTGTTAACAGAAGGTTTCTTTCAAAGATTATCTGAGCTGAGTCACTGTTGTTGGAGTTCAAACAATGCACTAAAGAGAGGAATGCGGATTTAAATCCCTAAAGATTGGGAGACTATTCCTGGATGAGTTTCATTCTGCCAGACTGGAAGAGCTAGACATTAAATTCATCAAATCACCAACAACACTGTGATATTCATACCGGCCCTCAATATAGTCTCTTTCATTTTGTTTTTCACTTGAAAATTAAAAATTACACTAAAAAGTAGTGACAACCAATTCCAGCCTGGTCAAAGTTTAGCTCAAACTTTTACCAAAGGTTGGCCAAGCTGAAATAATTATTTATAAATGAGATAGAGCGCTGAATGCACATATAACACACACACACACACTGCTTTATCTTGCTCATAAAACGATGTCTGGCAAATCACAAGATTCAAATATAATCAGTGTTTTAAGTAATCTTCTATTGAGTTATTAAATTATTAGCATTATTAATTTATTAGCTTGGTTCCTTTGTGTTATGTGTTTGGTTTGGTTTGATTTTTTTTAATCTTTTAGTGACATTTCTCAAAAGGTTATGGTTGGGGTCAATCCATGTACAATGTGGAGGGGATTTTCAGCCTTGATATGCAGTGTCAACATTGTTCTTGTTATGGTTGTTAATAAAGCTTGTAAGATAATTACAAATGAGTGGTCATACCCTTAAAATGTGTCAAAGGGAAAAATATACAGTGAAAATAATAATAAAATAGTAGTTACTGGATGTAACCACGAGCTTAAGCTCCTTTACTTACTGGGCTTCACAGGGTGCTGACAATATGGTAAGTCAAGTATGCATATTTAATTTTACGATATGCATATACAGTAACACTGCGTGCATATTTAATAATACTAGAATATTTATAATTTCAGCTATTTGTAGTTATTTTGTTATATTTTATATCTTTGTTATATATTCGTTTAGTTAGTTACTATGCTTTACTGTCTCATAGCAACTGCGAGCACATCATTTCCTCTGGATTTCATTTTTGGTGGTCGTGTCCACTTATTGTTCTGTTTGACACTGCCCCTTCTTGAATAGGTTGTATATCAACATACCTGGACCATAAACCTTCTGAAGTTTTTATTTATTTAGTTATTTTTCCATCAAGGGAACCTGATCATTGGCACATAGTTTTGCCGTACACCAACAAGCTTTTTAAAGTATTGTTCTAAGAAAGCTATCTTATACCTTTTAGTGGAGCAAACCTTTTGTTGTTTCTGCAGCTGTTGTACATATTGTATCTGTTAGGTACTTTTTAGTGCTCAATCAGACTGGAAAAGTGCTCAACAAATGTTACTTTTTCATTATTGAGAAGCAAGCTCAGCAGCTGTTTAGCCATAGTAATTTTAGTACGGTCAAAACTTTTGATCCTTGAGAGTCCTAGAAGTAAGTCCAAGTGTATGCGCTCAACTGATGCCCAGACCTTTTGATCATAGCACATGATCTTCATCAGCAGATGGAGCTGCTCTTTGTAGCATATGAGAAAAAATAAAAATTTGGTGCTCTTTTTTTTTTTGGCCGACATGAGCAAAAAGGTCCTAGAATTCAAGCAGCATTTGATCTTTTATGTCAACACATTCATGACATCCCTGGAAACACCATCTGCTGACAAAAACCACTATAAAAAAAAAAAGTTCACAGCCCCAAAACACACTGAGTTCATCTGCAGCATCGGCGATACACACTGATGGTCACTTTTGCTGTATTTTAAATTCCCTTTGATGGATGAAAGGTGGCAGAGGAAGTAGAAAAGGTTTAGAGAACACAAGCAAAATAGCTTCCTGAGTAGATTCTGTGGTGAAACAAAGCAAGTAACTGATTATAGAGGGACTTAATGTGCGATAGGATGTACAGTAAACTAAACTGCATAAACCCACTCATTCACTTGTGCGACACCAAAGGAGAACAGTTGGAGAAAACCAACATTTAAATAAGATTACTTTACTGTTTATAGAGACATCCACTGAGAGCACAATGAGGCAGCAGCTTCCCACGAATTTAAATGTAATTTCCCAGGGAAAGAGGGCCCATTATCATTTAGATAGAAAAAACACTCACAGTTGGGTGGCTCTTTTATTTATTTATTTATTTATTTTTCAGTTTCTTTTCACGACCTTTGTTGTTTAATGCTTCTTCTGTCCTCTTCCAGGTTGGGATTCTCTACTTCCAGCCCAGTGTTTTCCGTTGCATCCTTCTGCGTTGGGTTCGACTGCTGGGTTTCGCTACCGTCTACGGGATGCTGACTCTTAAGTTGTACAGGTACTTCACCCACAGTTCGACACTGTTATCCATCCCTGGAAGCACTTATCAGATTATATTACACCTGACCTCTTAATCCTTTGATAAAGAGTCCTGTGATGTGTCATGGCAGCGTGTTTTTCAGCTACTTCATCACCAGGCTATACTGCCTCATTAAGTGGTAAAGTAATTAAGAAAACACGGAGCGCATTGGCCCCAAATGAGCTCCATATTTAACAAAGTCCTGAATGACAGTTGCTGAGAAAAAGACAAAAGCAGAACTCAGGGACAGAAAGCATCGCCAGAGGATGCAGTGGAGTGGTGTTGGGGGGGAGTTCTCCAGCTGTGAATAGCTGTTAATGAGACAGGGTGGTCCACTGTATTTAAAGTGACAGTGATGAAATTCTTCATTTGTGGGCCTTTTTTTGTCAGGTGAATCTGTCAAAATGCGCTAATGGAGATACTGATTAAGAGGATGTGGCTAACACGAGCCGGGGCCCAGTTCACCCTTAGAGGTGCAAGTTAACATATTGCACAGATCAATTTTTGATGGGGGGCTCATTAGTGGAGAGAGCAGTGGACACTTCATCAATGTGCGTGAAGGGCAGAGCCTAAGAATAGCTATGCCGGTGATGTGTTTGAGCAGAGTTTAACTCATGTTCCACAGTCTGTGGATTTGGCAGGTGGAATAAGTGCTGCAAATGTGATGGCTAGCAGTTTTTTTCTGCTGCGCTGCTTTGCAGGAAGTCAGGAAAAAGTCTTGACATGTCATTTAATCATACCTCAAGGCACACTTTCTTTTAAACCAAAGCCCTTAAATAAGTTTGCAACATATTAGCATTTTTTAATAAATAGTGTAAAATTTCACCCATTTAGTGAGGTGACAAACAATAAGTTTGCTTTGTTTTTTTCTTTTCTGATCACTCAGCTCTACGGTTGGGTGATATGTAAAAAATTTCCAACCGACAGTCGTCAGTCCAATAATCGTCGATCGACGATATATTCGCGTATGCGCAGACTTTTTGATGGGCGGAGCAATGTAATCATGCACGGACTGATTTGCTGTTTACAACACAGAAGGCCAAACATGGATGAACTAATTTCCCCAAAGAATTAGGGATGTCAGTGTTAATGTGGTCATCACGATTAAAAATTTTAACGCGCTTAAACCATCTGGAGTGCAGAATGAACAAACTTTGGACAAACTGCCTGAAATGCGTTGACAGAGACATTTCAGGGACTTTGACTCCGTCTGTGCTCCAGATGGGTTAATTGTTAATCGCGTTAGTCGTGATTATGCTGACAGCACTAAAAAAAGTATAAAGTTGCCAATTTGGGATGAAAGAGGTAAACCTAAGGATGTAACCAAAGCGGTGTGCCGCTTGTGCAGACGTATAGTGTGAACAAAGTACTCAAACACGACTAACTTGCATAAGCGTGTACGTGTCCACCATGCGGCTGAGTATGCAAGGCTATCACCAACTTCTGCAGCTCCATCAACACGCATTTGGGCACAGAATTTAGGAGCATGCATTTGCTCGCAGATGAAAAAGGGTGCTGTTAAAACAGTGCTATTATTTTTTTTTCTGTTGACTGCTTCTATTAGCTCCATCATTATTAGCAAACTTACTCATGGGCAAATAAATAAATAAATTGACCTTGTAAAAACGATCACCAATGGCCTTAGCCTATCGTCGATAGTTGATATATTCGTCCTATCGCTCAACCCTACTCAGCTCTTTTTGTTATGTTTAGTAAGTTTAAGGCAGATAAACTGTTTTGGTTAAATTTCATGAACTAATATGGTCGAGAAAATCATCGATTCTGAGCATGTTGGAGCCAGTTCACAGGAAATGGTGCTAATAAAGGTAAATTCATCCATATAAAAAAAGTAATATGACGTATACTTCTCATTTCGCAAGAGACAGCATGACTAGACTAATATTTTACATCAGCATCCACCATCACGGTTAATTTTTTGCCAGGCCCACTTTTGATCACAGAGTTGACGTCGGCGTTTTCAGCATGTTTGTTTGGACACAGCAGCACACAATAAAAATCCTTTGAAAGGCTGCAATAGCACAGCAGAGAGTTTCAGTTCAGTGACTGCTATTGGCACAGGTGAGTGAAGTTCGTGTCCAAGGAGGAAGATGGGTCACACACTGACCTAAACACTTTGCATACACCCAAGTAGCATCAACAATTTATAGCCTTAACAGCCTGCGTTGTTTATGTTTTTTGGAATGAAACTTTTCAAGGAAATACATCACTTTCTCTTGCATTTTGATTAAAGTGAAGATTTAAGAATGAGTGGGCCCCTTGGGATTTTCTGGTTTTTAAGTGGGCCGCAGCAGTCTTGACTTTGGGATAAAGCTTAATAAGAGTCTATGAAAATTGAAATACTAGTTTTCTGTTAAGTATTTATGTCATATTGTGGAAGCAATATTTTTCCGATACTAATATTGCCATAGACTAATAAACCAGTGTGTAAAGCAGCTGTGATGTATTTTTTGCTTAAAGCTTTTGCATGTAGAAGGTTTCAAATTCTAGTAGATATGGGAAATAAAAAGATAAATACACTCAAGGCACACTGAGTGTAGAGGTATTTCCCTCTCATGGATACTCTGTTTACTTGAAATGACGACAGGCTTACATGAAACTTTGTGAAACAGTCTCAATGTGAGCTTCTCCCTCCACAGGGTGCTGAAGGTGTTCCTGTCCCGTACAGCCCAGAGGATCCCCTATATGACCAGCTGGCGAGTGCTACGTCTGCTGGGCATCATTCTGCTCATCGTCTGCTGGTTCCTGGTGGCTTGGACATCTGCTGTCTGTCAGAACCCGGACAGGAAGTTGGCTCTCATCGAGGTGGGCTACACGCCCAATGGGCTGCAGTTCAGCATGTGCCTCCTGGATCGCTGGGACTATATGATGGCTGTTGGTAAGTACCGTTACTGCCCTCTGCCTCTGCAGGGCGCTGTGAGTAGATTTAAGTGTGCTGCACTCTGCATGTGGGTAAGTGTGGTGAGGAAACGTGGGTTACTTGATGGACACGTGAAATTAAGAAGTGATTTGTTAGGCATGATAGCGATGGGAGTTGAAAGTGAGATGAGGGAAGAATGAGTGATGGGGTGAAGCTGGATGATTAAGACAACTCCCTTCCATGTACATTTGGAAATGTTTCCCAAAAGAAGACATTAATCCTCTCTACTGGTGCTACGCTTTTGGATGCTTTCCTGTGTTGTACACAGGAGGGGAAGGGCAACCAGCAGCAGATGAAGACAGATGAGAAATCAAAGATGCTTTGAGAGCAGCATCTCACTTTGAGCAAGTCTGCATGCTGGTGTATGTCTGCTGACTCAGGCTTCATGAGAGAGCGCTGTGGTCGTTTTAGAGTTCTGGGAAAACAGATGGACCCCCAGCCGGGCCGCCATGCTGCGCTACTGTATACTGAGGACACATTTTCATTCTGTTTATTACGAGGTAAAAATAGGTTGGCAATATGGAAGTGCGGGGCAACTCTGATGCCACCTGAATGCAGCTTATAATTTACACCCACAGAGATGCAATAAATCTTTCAGATTTAGAAATCCACACCTGCATTTGCTCGCAGCAAGAGATATAATTGTAGTATTTTCTGCTCTGCTGTGTTTCTGCGCAGAAACAATCCCATAAAAAATGAACTCCTATCGAATAAAGACGAATTGTTAAGACCCAAGCATGCAGCAAAACTGCACTTTCAGTAGTTGTTATCATGTGCTCGCATGTGCAGAGGTAGAGGACAGTACAGGCACACTGAGATTCTTGTATTAATCTTGTGCAGTCTAACTTTATAAACATGAAAACAGTAAAAAAGCAGTTATCAGCAGTCATGGTAAGAGAACACACTTCTTTTGCACACTCCTCTTCCTCATCCCTCACACAGCCTCTCTTGTAAATCACATGCTGGTGCGAGTTAGTTTCTTGTGACACCCATGGCAAGGTTAAATATCATAGAACACAGAAACACTATAGAAATTAGTACATGAGTAGTGAGTAGTAAGTATTTTTTAAAAATATTGCACCATACAACCTAGAGAGATTTCTTTTTCTTCATGTGATATCATGCGTGCACGTTATTCAACATATTGAATATGATATGCTGCACTAAGAAGCTCATTATGATTGCTTTGGTTGCTAGTAGGTTGCCTTGGTCACCTGTAATTTGCGACGAACAGCTTGGCTGAACTACTACCCAAGTGATTGTAGTTAGCAAAAGTGCAACGCAAACTGGAAATGGAGAAGGCTCCCCATCAAAGTAGAAGTTTAAAAGGTGCAGCTTTTATTTTGAAGGAAAATGGTCCCAGTTTCACTAGAAGTGTTCATACACAGGGATGAGTTAATGTCATTGGGTTAGCAGTTCTTTGTCTGCAAATCCTCTGTATAATTGGTTTCACAAAGCCCACTCTAAACTGTATGGAGGTTCATGATAGATTACAAAAAAGAAAGTTATTCTATAGAAGTTATATTCTATAACAGAATATATGGTTAAAAAAAAGAAAGAAAAGGCTTTGAGGTAGCTAAACTTGTGAGTGAAGTCTTTTAGTTGGTAACGTACCAGAAACATTTTTTGTTTAACGCTGTAAAAAAAAAAAATCAAGTACAAAAAAATGAACAAATCTGCCCATTTTGAAGGATTAATATGCTGGAACTACTGATAAATAATTTACAAATGCTCTGAATAGACCATTAAAAAAGAGTTAGATTTCCCTCGTTGCTCTCACTCGCTATTTTATTTCAAGGAACGGAGAAAACAAATTTATTTCTATTGTTGTCTCGAGTAAATAGTTTTACTTACAAAAATAAAAGTTTGAGATCTAATTATTTAAAAAAAGAAGTCCAACAGACAGGGAGGCGTTTACAGTAATGAGTCACTTTGCAGTGATTGTTGTTCCTATTGTAAGGAAACATGATTCACTTGCCCTCACAGGCAGCAACCTGGCGTGTTTACAGTTGCGGAGCTGGATACCTTGGAAACCTTATGTGAGGCTGCCGCGGAGGTGCACGGGGACTCATTTAATGCCCTGAGAATACAACCACAGCTGTTGCAAATGAGTCTGTCGAGCAGGCCACTTTCCTGTATACGTGTGTTTTACAACCATCTGTGGCAGCTCCATGTGTGCGCTGGAGTGTGAAGTGGCTGGTTGGTTGGTGCCCATGTAAGGAGCGTGTGCCGCATTGAAATGATTTCTTGGCCAGAGCATTCGCTGTGTTTACAGCTTGTTTTTTGTTTTTTCGCTTCCCAGCCGAGTTCCTCTTCCTGCTGTGGGCGGTCTATCTGTGTTACGCCGTGAGGACTGTGCCGTCGGCCTTCCACGAGCCTCGCTACATGGCCATCGCTGTTCATAATGAGCTTGTGCTGTCAGCTATATTCTACATCATCAGGTAAGAGCTCCTCCTCCTAGTGATTTGGCACCATGAGGTTTTTTTTGTTGAATTTAAAAAAAATGCAAATATATTCTATCGTATTATTGCATCGTACCAGAAAATTAGTAAAAGTTATATGAGATAAATAGTTTGTTTATAAGGTCAGTGAACTGCCAACATAGTCTCTTGGTTATAGCACATCGAGTAAGCTAGAATGAATCTTAAGGAAATGACATGACAGAAATCAGAAAGTCTGAAAACCTTCAAACTGCGAACATGTTTTCAATCCCATGAGGTGATTTGATGCAAATTCACACTGGGCAATGCAAACAGAGGCGAAGCCGCATTTGCGCAGGTTAAAATTTTTCAACTCAAATTTGCATCATGTTGCAAAGCAAAAACCCATGATGACAATTAGAAACGGAGCTCCACAGCTCACTTTTATGCAGAGACGGGAAAAATAGATGAAGCCTTGAAGGTGTGCAAAATGGCAAATTTTCCAGCTATCAGTTACATGCCTCCTCATCCTGTTGGTCATTCAATGGTTGGTTGCTTTTGGACAATTCAGCCCTCAGTTGCCTAGGTAACCTTCTAATTTATTTGCCACCCCCTCATATGTCGATCAACATATGTGGGGGTCGCCATTGTTGGTATTTGCTGCATTTGCTCATGCCCACTCACTTCTCCTATTATCGCTTGAAGTTGCTGAACATCTTTGGCATTTTATGTTCTCTGATCACCACATCGCTCCGTGTGTGGACCACCCTTAGCTCAGGGGGAAAGTTTGCTTTGCATTTGGTAGCCAGCAGACCAGCAATAGTACGAAAGACATTAAACATGTAGCCTAATCTAATGGATGAGGATAAAAATTGGCTGTGTAAACAGTGCTTATATTTAGAAACCACTTGAAACTGTTAATTACATTCTTTAATAATCAAATCATATTTTAAATGTCACTCAACAGTGCGGCACTTTGTACTGCAAATCATCATACTCATGATGTCAGATTAGTTTGCCAAGTGTTCCTTTCTTTGCAGGTTAGCATCCACGCGCCTGTGCTGTACTTCATGGCACATTACTCCAGTGATTATACACTAGCTTGTTCTCTCACAGCCTGCATACAACTGTTCATTTTCTAAATCACATACTGCTGTGTAGCATCTGAGAACAGTTTACTATTGCACATGAGTAAAATAGTAATTATTTACTCAACCAGCTGGTATTTGTGGTGCAGACTAGTGAGGGAAAGGTTGTTTAATCAGCTAGAAATTTCTTATATGTTATCAGTACTGCATAAGAACATTTTTGCTTTGTGTAAAGTAGTCAGTCTGTTCAGATTCTTGGTACATATGTACAGACCTGGTATAAACCAGCAGCTCTTCTCAGACACTTTGAGGTTACGGCACAGAATTTAATTATTCTGCTGCATTTTTGGTTCAGGTTGTTTGTGGTAATGGCAGGAAAGGTACTGCCCTCTTCTGGAAATGGGCAGCAGCAGCTCAAATAATTTAAAGCTACAGAGAGTTGAAGAGAAGAGGGCTGAAACCGAGCAAAATCAATTTATTTAACAAAAATAACCCAAAATGCAAACCAAGAATACAGTGGTGTGATAGAAAAATCTGTGAGGTGTCTTGATTGATTGATTGAATCTTTATTTTGAACATGTTGAAAAAGTACAACAAAATAGAATTAAAAGAGACAAATGAACAAAGCAAAACAAAAGGAAAACGAGCAACCACAACTCCAAATAACGTTCATGTTCAAAAAGGAGCAGGAAGAAGCATAAGCTTGTCTTGAAATGAAACTGGGAAGGCTCTACTCTGGGGTCCAGTGAGACTTGTTAAAGGTGGACATTTAAGTATCAGCAGATACGCAGGTACACCTGTGCTGTTTGCACAGTCAGGCTGTGTTTTCTGACTCATCACAGACAGTTTTTTGCAGTAAACTCCCCCACCTGTGCTATACTGTAAGAAGCCTACAGCTTACATCATCTGTTATAATGCTATATCCAAACTGAAAACTTTTTAAACTGATTTTCTATTTATTTATGTAATAAATTTGTCTAGAATTTTTACCAAAACACTTTGAGCATCACAAATTATATTCTGTTATACCCCATACAATACTGAATTTAGAGATTCTTTGGGTAATAATCCTCTGTCTTGAAATACGCTCCAACTTTTATTTTATGACTAACACTGATGATAACTGACAGTAACATAACTGACAGGATCAGTTAAAAGAAAAAGAGACACTTTTATTTAAGATATTTAAGATAAAGAAGTGGGTTTTTTTGTTTGTTTTGTCTGTTTTATTTGGATGGCAGTCTGTGTCACTTTTGCCTCACAGCTAAAAGGTGTTGGGTTCAAATCCAGCTCAGGACCTTTCTGTGTGCACACGTAAATGGAATAATAAAGGAAACAAAAGCAAAGTCCAAGTTTAACAAACACAAAAATCAGAACCTTAACACTGGAATAACAGTAAGGCTCGAATCCACCCACATAGCGCTCTAAGCATAGTTACTAATAGATACATTGTGTTCAGCATGCAAATGTTGTCACTTAAATTTGCAAAATTCCCAGTACGTACTGGCTCCATATTTAATATCATAGTCTGTCTTCAGGTTGTCATTTTGATGTTTATATCCTCCAGTAGATCGCCTGATTTCCGTGTACGCTAGCTCAACTGTTCTGTTCAGCTCGTAGTTAATTTTGATCATAGTGAAATCAGCCCTCTCCCTCCAGTCTACACGTCAAGTAGCTGCAATGTGCAGTTTTAATAAATGAGATGTTTCAGCTGACACTGCCACAGCCGCTCCTAGCTCGAGCCGCCCTAATTGAGAGCTCAGCTACATCACATTATTCACTAATGAACCATGTCAGGGTGATTTTTTTTTTCTAAGACAGCATCAATTACTTGAACTATTGGTAGCTTTATTATCGTTCATTACCAATAAATTGTGCATGATCGATAGTTTACTGGAAGAAATGCGAGTTTTTAAGTGTTCTGATGTCTTTTTGAACATCTGGCTCTTGTGATTGCTTGGCCAGTTCTTTTAACGAGCCTCTCGAGCATTGTTGTGAGGCTTTCCTCTGCAGAAAATGGCCAGATGAGGTCCTTAATAAACTGGAGAACTGCCTGGTGTGGTGGGTTAATTCCGTCTGGTTGCCACCTGGGGCTCCAGTGTGCACCGGGGCTAGTTAAAGGCAACCGCCATCCATTTATGTTGCATGAAGAACCTGCTATTTGATCCCATAGTGACCAGTTAAAGCTCAGGCTTCCGTGTTGGCTGTGGTCATCTTCAGGTATAAGCCAGGTCCAGGTAAATGGGATGCTGGAATGAAACCGCTGGAGTCGTAGGAGTGGTGGAGATCGCTCAGTGAAATGCTGCTGGCTGAGAGGAAACAGCATGCCAGAGTTATTAAATCCTGATCTGCACACAAACTCATCACAAAACACGAAGGAGAGAAGACTTCAAAGCTTCGAGACATTTCATATGCTGGACGTTTGCCTTCATTCATGCCTCACAGCTATTACCACAGTAACTGTTTGTTAATTAGCCATTTGCCAACCTCAGCAGCGTAATGAGCCTGCTACATGACATTTGCTTGTTAGAGGCTCTCCAGTGGTGGAATTAGCATCTAACAAGACATGCCTTCATATCCTTAGTGCACACGAGGTCTCACTGTGCTGAAAGCCTGTTAGTTCGTTCTAAATAACAGGCTGGAGCTACTCCTCTCACCACTGTTGTTTCAGATGGTAATTATCTTATTTTCCTCCAACTGCTGCAGCACAGCTAGCCTAGTGTGTTCCCGTCTGATGTACACATAGACTGAATCTTTTGACCAGATGAAGGTCACTCCTTTTTATTGTGAATCCAATTGAGCGGATGAGGAAAATATTGTGTCCTTGCTGGCACGAGGATCACCCAAGTAGAACACTGCAGGAGTGCATTTGACGACTAGACAGACACTGCTGCTAAATCTGCTGCACTGGTGGTAGCTTTCTCTCCCACATCCATCTGTATCCAAGAGCTTTGATGCAGGTTTCACTTCAGTTAGTGAATGAACACTTTAAAGTTGATGAACTATAATAAAGACATGTCTTTGTGTCCAAATACTTTCCTGGTTTATGTGATGAGATTTAGCAGGTTGAATAGTGATGCTGAACAGCTTTATAGATATCAGAATATAAGAAACTGAAATCCTATCGGCAGTCAATGAAATTGACTAACATCAGCTTCACATCTGGATGTCTGTCTTTATTTTTACAGGTTCACTCTCGCTCCTGAGCTGCATCCAGACTGGATGCTGCTCCTGTTCTTCACCCACACTCACCTAACTGTCACTGTCACCCTGGGTCTTCTACTCATTCCTAAGGTAACCATTTCAATGTATGCAATACATTCACAAATGTATGGAAAAGATGGGTGTAGTATCTAATTGAATTTAAGTTTATTTATATAACATCAAATCCCAACAACAGTCGCCTCATGACGCTTTATATTGCAAAGTAAAGACCCTACAATAATAATTGTAGTTTGTGAACCATCACTGTGAGACCTCAGTTTCAGAAGCTCTGAATCACAAGCACCCCTCCATGCTCACAGTGTAGCAACTTGTATAGATTTAGTCTATGAGGTTGCCCTAAAAAAGTCGCTAGGGTGAAAAAGTATATTCACCAACCAGGTAGTGAGTAGTTACTGGAGGTTATTTTACTTTTTACTTTGTGTTGTAATAAAAACCTGCTTGTGATTGCTTTGGTCGCTAACAGATTGCCATAGATGAGTCAGTGTCTTGCATGCAAACTGTGGTCAATTTTGGCAAACTGCTAGCGACCAATGAAATCGCAAGGTTTTTGGTGCAGCAACCACTCGGCAACCAGCTGGGGTATATGCATTTTTCCAAAGGTTGCTATGGAGTCGCTGACTGGTCTCTTGACTTATGTGACTGGGGCCTAAAATAGTGTGTACTCATAGAACAAATCAGCAGTAAGCACTCTGAGTATCTGTTGGGCTTATTTCCAGTTTTAGATGTCATGCTCCCTAGGTCAGTTAGCCTTAAAGTTCTTATTAATTCAAGTTTAAGCTCCAAAAAGTGTTGGGGGTGATTTATGTCTGAGGGATAGCAGCAAGAGTGACAGGGAAGGTTTACAAAACAGTAGTGAGAATGCTATGATGTATGTTTCATGGCATTGACATTGGCACTGACAAAAACAGGAGGCAGAGCTGGAGATGTTGAGACTTTCATTGGGACATAATTAGAAATGACTACATCAGACAGACAGCTCAAGTTGAGCAGTTTGGAGACAAAGTTAGAGGTTTGTGCAGAGGAGAAATAGTGGATTATTGGATGGTGAACATGGATCTGGCAGTCAGGAAATGCAGAGGGGTGATGTGATAGAGGAGGACACTAGAAATAGGGTCCACAATTCCCTGTGGACACCCCTAAGGGAAGGAAAGAAGAAGAAGAATCTGTGCAGCACTTAAGTTTCATTTAAATGTTCTACTGTATATGAGTAAATTGCCTTAACTTGGCCATTCAACTTGCCCCAACTGGCCCAGATTTAAAGCACTTCTCCATTGGCTTCACCTTTCATATGTAGCCTGTGCTTACATGCTGCTTTACTTGTAATTTAGCTCCTTTGGTATTCGATGCTGTCCAGGATTTAGGCATTTCCAATTTAAGATATTGTTATTATTGTTGTTTTTATTCTTACTTTTTATTTTATTAATTATCTTTCATGGTGGTCTTTATTTTCATCAGTAAAATATAATGTTTTATATTTGCTATATAGACACGTAAATACATAGTAATGCACTAAAGAACTGTTTCCATCTTCTTAAATAATGTTAGGTTAAGTAAGTAAGCTATATATGTATATTGTGATTTCTGCATTGTTTGCTTTTCCTTGCTTAAGAAATGTAATGGAAACAATCAGTGTTGACCAATTTTACCGCCCTCCATCAGTTCCTGTTTGCTGGCACCCACATGAGAGATGATATCGCGTCTGAGGCCTATGAGGACGAGTTGGACATGGGTCGCTCTGGCTCGTACCTCAACAGCAGCATAACGTCAGCATGGAGCGAGCACAGCCTGGACCCTGAGGACATCAGGGTGAGGGGTGTTTCCACCAACTTTTACATTTCCATTGTGCACCTTTTGAATCCTCCAAAAATACTGAGCCATGGCAGTTTTTTATTGCAGACACCAGACGAAATGGGCCATCTCAATTCTATTAATGGCTGTGGCATAAGGTCTTGCGACAGCCTTTGGGAAAAACGTGCCAACGTGAGCAGAGATATCTGTTTGTCTGTTAGAGCTGAAGAAGTCTCTCTACCAAAATATTTGGGTACCTTAAGCCTATAATGTAGAAGAGGGGGTTTTATGGTGACATCCAGGTGTTTGAGAGCATTCACTGTCACGGAGGGAAATGCAGATTGAAATCCAACTGATTCAGGATCTGAGCTTAGAGGCTGTTTCAGACCTAACACTAAAAGACACTCCGTTTTCTTATTTGATGCTGTCCTAAACTGTCCCGTCTTTGCTTTTTTTCAGCATGTGATACTCTGTAATGCATTATTTAAAAACTGTTTGTAGTCACGTGTCATTAGGTAGTACTGCATGCTTTCTGTGCAGCAGATTGTGTGCTTTTCTGTAGCAGTGTTTGAGCGCGACCTTTGTTTGTTTGTTTTCTTTATTTAGCCAGGTTAATGTCTTTAAAAAAAGACTTATAACTTTGTATCTGTCTTATCATTGATGTGTAGGAAGAGCTAAAGAAACTGTACTCCCAGTTGGAGATTTACAAAAGGAAGAAGATGCTAGCAAACAACCCTCATCTCCAGAAAAAGCGAAGCTCTAAGAAAGGGTTAGGTCGCTCGCTGATGAGGCGCATCACAGAGATTCCCGAGTCTGTGCATCGCCAGTGCAGCCGTGAAGAGAAGGAGGCGGGAGAGCATGGCAGCAATCGTAACAGCATCTCCATGCTGAAGAAAACCCCCTTGGATACGACTCACCCAGCAAAACCAGCGAAGGAAGAGACACTGAAGAACAAGGTGTTCTCCCTGAAGAAGTCACACAGTAGCTATGATCACGTCCGGGACCAGAATGAGGACTCCAGCAGCACTGTAAATGATAAGATTGATGAGAACACAGCTGAAGGGTCCCTCCTGGATACACTTATGGGCAAGAAGCTGGTCAAGAAGACATCCAGTGAGAACATAAACGCCCCCAGTGAATCTACAGAATCAGTTCCCTTGGTATGCAAGTCAGCAAGCGCCCATAATCTCTCTGCAGACAAGAAACCAATTCATCCTAGAGCCTCCATGCTGCAGAAGTCCCTCAGTGTCATTGCTAGTGCCAAAGAGAAGACTTTGGGCTTGACTGGAAAGACCCAGGGTACAGAGGAAAGCAATAAGAAGAGTCAGCCAAAGAGCAAAGACACAAAGGCAAATGTAGAGCCAGAAAATGAATGCCAACCCAAGATGATTATCAGCCAGTCAGTCGAGTACAAACAAAGCACCACAAAAGGCATAATCATGAAACAGCCAGTTAGTGGCAGCCAACCGACAATCTGCTCCGACCCCATTAAGGGAAAAGACCTCTATGATCTCTCAGAAGTATGCCCCTGGGAGGTGGAAGATCTCCCAACTCCATCTGAAAATAAGGTTCAAAAGCATGTATCTATTGCACCAAAGGAAACCACAACTGTTCATGGAGGTAGCACGAAAGGAGCCAAGTCTCAGAAGCAGAAAGGTTCTGATCATTCTCCATCCAGTGGCAGGCACCCAAAGGAGATTCAGAGGTCATCGGCTATTCGAGCAGAGGTGTGCCCATGGGAAGACAGAGGTGAGATTCAAGCCAGTCAAGCGGAACCATCGAAGCAATCGATGTCTCAGTCTAAAGCCCAGCAGCCTCCCTCTTCAGTTGAAAGCTCCAGAACACATCGGGCAGATGTTTGTCCCTGGGACTTCGAAGAGCTGAAAAAACCAACAGAGTCAGCTCACTCACCAGACGTGACAAAGCAGAAAAAGGGAACCTCTCCAATGGATGTGAGAGATCCACCTAAAGGATCACTCCAGCCACTAATATCAAAAGTCGACGTCTGTCCATGGGAATTCGACAACAGTGCAGCTGCTCCAAATTCAGAGAGGATACCCAGCCCCTCACAAGCACCCAAAACCAAGGAGTCCCCTTCTAAAAAGAAAGGGCCCCCTTTCACAAGAACAGTTGACCAAGAAAAATCAAAAGACACTGATGATGAGAAAAGCAGAACAAAGGTGAAGGACAAGAGTAAATCTTCAGAGAAACATGTCGGCCAGCAAAAAATGGCCGAGGTCTGCCCGTGGGATGTAGAGAGTCACCAGGAAATGCTGCTGGTAGAAAAAAGGAAAAGCGCTAATGTTGGAGCAGCCAAAGAAAAGCAGGCGGAAGTCTGTCCGTGGGATTTTGAGGAAAAAACGGATACAGACAAAAGTTCTTCTGCAGTGAAACAGAGCAAACCAACTCCTAAAGGGGGGCCTGTAGGTGCTGCTAAAAAGGCAGATGTTTGTCCCTGGGACTTTGAGGATAGTACGTCGAGCAAGAAAGCATGACACTTAATGGACCACTGATATATTATAATTATTGATGTATACTTTTTTTCCACTTTGAAATCGTTAAATATCACCTTTTACTATTAGTATGGTGACTTGGAAGCAAAGTTGATCCACAAGTTGCCTTCCTTTCCAAGGTTTTGTTCCTGTTTTATCTATTTTGGAAAAAAGTGAAATCTACAAAAAAAAAAAGTCATGATGAGCATTCCAGATTATTACAGGGCACTCCTGAAGAGAAATTGTAGACTAATTATGCAACTTTTAATTCAGTCTTTTCACTTCATAAGCAATGTTAAACATCCATGTTCACCATGTCAGCTGTTCTTACTTTTTTTTTGCTATGATTAGTTCTTGGACGAGACTGTAGAAACAAATATTGATGTGTATAAACAAGAAAGTATAAAATTAAGGTTGAATTGCATAACAGGGAAAGTGAAAGCCAAAGAACAAGTGAACAGTTGCAAAGAGGGATGCAGGTCTCGAAGCTCTAAAGTTAATTTATTAGTTTTTGTCCTTGGCGTAGGAAAGAAATCAGTCTATAGCACTTTAGCCAATTTTACAAATTAAGAACTGAGGACAGGTTATGTCCAACTTGTACATTTTGTCTTCTTATTTTCAACCACATGGCATGATATCACACACGATATAACACACTGACCAAACTCAGACATGTTTTGTTTGTTTGTTTTTTGTTTAGATCTATTTAATTGTAGTTCTCAGCAGATTAAAATGCTTCCAAGTCTGCGGAGATGTACTGTATGTGCCTATCTAACTAGCATTGTCTTGTATCAGTCTGAAGAGAAGCGAGTGTCTTCTTCTTCAGCATTTTGTGATGGTGAATTATATAAACAGCATGCACAGCCAGGTATCGAGAGTAGATGAAGCCTACCGGTTTGTCTACTAAAACAGTTAATGTGTTGGCAAATCTATAATGTTGTTTTCAGTTCACTTTTTTGAGACCCTGTTTTATAGTTTCAAAAGCTAAAGGGTGATATTTGAGAGCAGCGTTAACGTGAATGTGTCAGATATGTTCACATATGTCAAAAGTAGTGAAGGAAAAGTTATTTGCACCAGCTTTGTGTATGAATCCAGCTTGGATCTTCGTCTTGCACTAAATGTGAGTAAGTGTGTGCCTGAGGATGCAATATTTAAAGGACAAATGAGATGCAGAAAAATTTGCAGAAGATCTGTTCTTGCCTTTGTGTTTACCATCCTACTGCCTCAACGTAAAAAAAAGGAAAGCAACTTCTCTTACACAATAACAGAAGCATTCTGGGTAATTAAAACTTGGGTTCTGTCTAGTAGTTGTGGCCACTAAAATTTGCCAGATAGTCCCACAGGTTTTTAAGGAGACTTCTGGCTTAGCTAAAACTGTCTGGAAGTTATTACTTAGTCTGGATAATCATCCATCAAAATTAAACAAATTAACATGCTATGCATCTGTAGATTATAGTCTAATGTAATGGCCTAAAAGCAAAAGACACCCTGTTTGAAAATGAAGGAGACACTAATCGCTTTTGGGTCATGTCAGCAAGGGCAGTTAGCATAAATATCGAAAATGTGGAGATCCATGCTGTAGCAACAGAAAGTAACCTTTAGTTAAAGAAATGAGCTGCCTGAAATGCTGCTGTGCCTCTGGGACCTCGTTTTTCATAGACATAGCTACTTTTTCTGGATCTTGCAGCGATAGATGACTTTGTTAGCTACACTTGTGTGCTACACTGCACTTGAGCCCACTATGTTTAAGTCAGTCAATCCCTTGAGAATATTGAAAATGCCCAACTTTACAGTGTGCGAGTGATCTGACAAATATTATAGATTATGATGCATTTCAATGTACTAAGAGTCTATGCAAGAGGTCTGTACAACAGTTGTAATGAGTGTGAGTGCTGGTATGTTTTTGTTTACACTCAACTGTTCACTGTTCATTAGCGCAAATCTTGACTTAGTCAGTCACATGGTCATGGTCAAAAAGACCTGCTAATACGGAAGTTTAGAATGGGAAAAATCTGTGACTTAAGTGACTGAACGTAGTATGATTGTGGTTGTCAGATGAGCTGGGATGAATATTTCAGAAACTGCTGATTTGTTTATATTTTCTCACATTCCCACTCTAGAGTTTACAGAGAATGGTCCAAAAACAGAGAAAAATATCCGGTGAATGGCAGTTCTCTGGGCAAAAATGACATTTTTGATGTGAGAAGTCGGAGGAGAATGGCCAAACTACTTGGAATTGATAGGAAAGAAAGAAAAATACTTATAACCACTTGTTACAAGCAACGTATGCAGAAGAGCATCTCTTAACCTTGAAGCCGATGACCTATAGCTGGAGAAGCCTGTCCTAGATGCTATTTCTGTCAGCTAAGAACAAGAAACTGAGCCTATTTCACATTGACTCACCAGAACTGGACAATAGAAGACTGGAAAAATATTCCCTCTGGTCTAAGAAGCCTCAATTTTTGCTCCAACATTTGCATGGTAGAGTTAGAAGCTGGAGTTAACAACACAAAAGCATGGTTCAACTCTGTATCAGTGGTTCAGGGTGATGCTGGTGGTGTTGTAATAGCTTGGGGGATGTAGGCCTCTAATACAAATTCATCACCATTTAAATGCCACAGCCTACCCCAGTATTGTTGCTGATCCTTTTATGATCACAGCGTACCCATTGTCCGATAGCTGCTCCCCGTAGGCTAACGCAAACCTCAAATCATCTCAAATGGTTTCTTGAACATTACGTTAAGTTCACTGTACTCAAATGGCCTCCACCAAACCTTAATCCAATAGCGCACCTTCCAGTGGTGAGATTCACATTATGGATCTACAGCAACTGTGTGATCATGCCACTATGAACCAAAGTCTCTGAAGAATATTTCCAGGACTTTGCTCGCTAGTACCAGGTTGGGTTAGTTAAGGTAAGTTGATGACTTATACCTTCATCCTCACTTCCACATGTGGTTCTTTCTGGCTCCAAAAAATAGAAGAAATCCCAACAGCAGCCGAAATGCCAAACTCAACTCTTCATCAGTGATGTCATGTTGTTCACATCCATCTTTTATTTACTTATATAGTGTTTCAAAGTTTATGGTCTAGTGCAGATTAAGCATCAAGTCTGAAATCTGCAATGTAGGAAACTCTGGACACAGACAGGGATGAATGAAGGTTCATCAAGTATGATCCTATCTAAATGATAGAAACAGTGGCCATAACTTCCAAAATAAAATCCAAGTTTTTATTAACTGGATAAAGGAACTGTCATTGAATGATGTGAAATACTGACAATAGTGTGACCTTTTATATTTAAAGGTTAAGCACTGCTGCAGTTTTTCTTTGCATCTCCATATTAGGCGTCATTTCAACTTAAATACAAATCAGACTGAACCCCCATTTGTTTATCAACCTAATAAGTTCATAATTAAACTTAGCATGGTAGTTATCAAATAATAATCTGACTAAATCTTTTAAAGGTTTTGAGATGTGCTGTGTTTTGTATCAAAATGTCTAAATAGTCACCATAAACTATCAAAGTGAAAAAAATACCCGCATTTATATTTGCAGTTGTGTGTCAGTAAAGCATCCACAGTGCATTGTGGTGTCTGTGTTCATGTCAATTTCCTCAGAACCCATTAGGGGTTGGTAATGACTATGATTCAGGCCAGTACCCATCGGTGAGTTTTCTTGAATTACTAAATTTCTTTGGCACAACTCAAATGAAAACAATCCAGCAACTGATATCATTTTCTGAGAATTACCTCCACCTCCAGCCTGTGGGAGGTGTCAGAGAGCACTGATTGATTGCAATCCTTTGATGGATCCTTGTGATCTTTATGAACCAGATGTTAAGCGTCATCTATCATCTGAGTCAGGATTTTATTGCATGAGTACAGCGACATTTGAAAAGCCCCTTCTTTATTTAAACCTAACTTTGGAGTCACTGCCATTTTCACTGAACTCGGGAGAAGAATAACCTGCTGCCTCTTTTACTGTCACTGTAGGAAAGTTATTTCAAAATGGAAAGATGTGTTTGTTTTCATATTTCAAAGTGAAATGGAGCGAATAGAGGCTCCATGATTTTGGTTGAATTTAATCCCAAAAAGAAAAAGAACCAAAAACAAGCAATATGTTAGCATTTTTAACAACAGAAGGAATTTTTATGGTGTCATTTATGTTGATTTTAAAACTAAACCCCAAAAAATGACAGTGCAACATCCCAGCACTAAATGAAGTCACTGTTTTATGTAACTTTGAGTCTACTTTTTTAATTTACAATAGCGTGCTTGCTGCAGGAATTCTCAGTTCTGCCAGTCCATAGCTGTATGCGTATTAAACAGTGTGATACATAACCAAGTGTTTGTTACTGTCCGTCTCTCTGGAATTCATCAATGAGTCTGTGAGTATTTGAACCTCAGCCATTTACTCGGGTGTGAAAATCCAAGACCATTGTTCTTGTACCACGCCGTGTCCCGTAGCTTCTTTGTCCTCCAATTGGGTCGTCTCTACCATGGTGCATTTTTGTTGGTTAGCTGCTTTCATTTAAACCTGACTTCTATTTCTTGTGACCAAACAAAGTCACACAAAGGCAAATACAACTACTACTATCGCTACTACTACTACTACTCAATGCTGTAACGTCGTAAATCTTGCTCTTGTGGCTTCTGCATGAATTCAAGAAATTAGTAGGACCGATGTTTCACTGCCCTTGATAGAACAAAAAAAAAATAAAGAAAAGAAAAAATTGATCTTTTATGGACTGTTACAAGTTGTATAGTGAGTGATACTGTCTCTAACCCACTGTATTGTGCTTGTTATAACTATTGCTCTATGACAAGCTTATAGCATCAATATATGGGAATATTTGGTAGATTTATATTGTGTTATATTGTGATAGCATGTACATAAAAGATACCTCCTCTGCAATAAATATTTATATGAAAATTAACTGTGCGTTCTCCTCTGTTTCCACTACAATGCTTCAGATCCTACAGGAAGACAGTCCCGTGATGC